AATCGTTACTTATTCTTGACCACGGATAATCAGTACAAATAAATGTCAATAGCCAACACCAGCCGATATGTTTGTATCGGAAATTAGCAGATAGTGCAGAGTGGATTCATAGAACTATAGAAGTATGAGATATATAAATAATGTAATAACAATCACCAGATGTCAAGAAATATACCATATATAGATTAAAATTATATCCACATCGTGTTTTATGTTTCTGCTGAATGTAGTGAAACGACACGTTTTCTCTAATTCTCTATATAAACTCACATAATTATCACTGATCATCAAACTTGATTATCGAATCAATATGATTACTAACGCTAATTTGATGTTGGTGGTGGTCTTGCTTGTTGGTACCTTACCAGTGGCAAGTCCTAAACTTCAACCCAACATGGTGAAAAGGATTTGGGGAAACAATGGTAAGTATAGAAGAGATCGCTGGGATCGAATACGGCTGGGAAAACATTCCTTTGAACTCTCCATAACCATTTGGCATGCCACATGCTGCTGAGCGTAGATCGTTGATAAATTAAGGAAAATACTTGAATGTAATGCATCTATCTTATTTTGTTGTAGATTGTGATAAGTACATTCTGCCAATACATACGATGTGGATACCAAGAGAGAGCTGTGAGGAAAATAAGAGATTCAAGTGCCAATCCGGATATATACCAGAAGTTCAGACCATATGTAAAAACGGAGCATGGTATTTGGAACCAACCTGTCGAGGTAAAAATCAGTATTTATACAGATTCTGTACATTGTGATGTAGTTGTACATGTTTCTTTTGTAAATAAAGTCAAGGAAATTGGCAGCTATTTTATAAAATGATATTTCGTCAAGAAGATAGGTATCCTTTAATGAAATGAAATAGAGATGTACAGGTCGATTATACCATACCCCAAGCAGTGGCGGAGCCAAAGGGGGACAGAGGGGGCAGCTGCCCATGCCCCGAATGCAACTTTTTCGGGCAAAAGTCTCATAACTAAGTTAGAGATTCGGGCAATCTCAGATATCTCGCCCCCTCGGCCCCCCGTAGACGTTAACCTGGCGCCGCCACTGTTAAACATATCACTTTTTTTAACTTTTTTTTACAACTCTCCTGATAAAACAAAATACACATAATTAAATCAATTAGTTTTAATCAAATTATTATCATGACGTAAGAGGTTATTAGAAACCAGTTATAAGTAACCCATCGTTATCATACACAATACCATACACATCTTCTAATGTGGTGTAGTTGAAATTGATTAATACGCAGTCGTTTTTATAGTAGGATAATGTCAAACATTGTGCATTATCTCTACATAAGTATATGCATTCGGGAATAGAGATACCTGTTACAACGGTACCAGCTGTATTACTCACATATATTCCTATCGTTGCCCCTGAAATATAAATAGTATTGTATGGTAAATAATTTATATCGGGCAAGATAGTTAAGTCGTTTTTTGGTCACTATGGGTGTTACAATTTATATATTATTTAACTAACGTTTAGAACGACCAAAAAATTGAAACTATTAAACTTGCTTTAAATGAGTCTTTATTCATCGGTGGTCTTATCTGGTGTCAAAGTCAAAACTATACAAAAATATCTGTCTATGATCAAATAAATCCATAAAACTAAGTAATTATTCATTAAACTAAGTAATTATTCATTAAACTAAGTAATTATTCATTAAACTAAGTAATTATTCATTTAAACTAAGTACTTATTCATTAAACTAAGTAATTATTCATTAAACTAAGTAATTATTCATTAAACTAAGTACTTATTCATTAAACTAAGTACTTATTCATTAAACTAAGTACTTATTCATTAAACTAAGTAATTATTCATTAAACTACTTAATTATTCATTAAACTAAGTAATTATTCACTAAACTAAGTAATTGTGAAAAAATTAATGAATAAAATAAAAAAATTATTGAAACATGCTCTTTGGGGCAATTAAGGAAATTAATGGATATATCGTCTTAAATAGAGATTCTATTCTTTAGTCATGACACCTGGTAAGTCCAATTGATGAATACTCTTATTGGCCAAGTTTGTGACTGTAAAATTAGGTAATATCCTTTCAATTATTTTAAATTTGTATAATGAAATATTTATGATTTGATTATTTCATCATATAACCCATCGTCTTCAAAAACACACCCCCTCCCATATAGCTGAATAACAACTTTTTTAAATAAACCCGTTATATAGTAACAGACTGAATATCATATTGAAGACCATTCTTTGAAGATCTCAGTTAATCTAAAAAACAATCATAATGAGGCCATATTGTCTTCTTAACAAGAAAGATCACTTTGTTAGAAACGTAAATCGGTGTATTCTCTCTTTGCCTGATTAATTGTCTATAAGAGAATAAGGATTAACTGTGCAGTTCACTCACTGACCACAGTTCATAATTAATAAACTCAATCATTAAAAGTAAACACAGAATGTTGGACATTGATGACTTTTAGTTGGATGCACTTGAAGACGTTGATACGGACACGCATGGTATTTCAGAGTTGGCTGATTATGTCACTGAGTTGTGGGTCGAGGGAGGGGATAGATTCGTGTGGAACCCTTTATCCACTACTGGCCCAAGAAAAACCAATTATGTGGACGGGTGACATTTAAAACTTAGTAATGATGTTGAAAGATCTATACGACTATACACAATAGAAAATATTAAACCTAAATTACCTGGACAAGCTGGTTGATCTATCCATGTACCATCTTCACTACACAACAGAGCACCCGAATAACCATCGTCAGTCAGCTGATCAATGTAAGTACAGATAAAAGTAAACTTAAAACCAAAATAACCGGATGGTGTTATACCATCCGAGGTAATGGGACTCACACCTGGAGGACATACTACAGCTAAAATAATAAAATAAATCTATCAGGCCGAGGGTAGAGGATTAATATACAAGTATGTAAATTCGTTTCGAAAGTAGAATGTATATCTAAGTTACTGCCAATACTTTTCAAAAGCAAAATAGGTTTCGAGGAATACAATTTGACCAGGTTAAAAGTTTTAAGTCACTACCCCGTCCTTTCCTGTCTACTCAGTTTAAAGGAAAACTGTAGGTTCTACTTGCTTCGGCGATCTCTATAGTTCAACACAATTAAAATAATATTCTTTAGGCTAAAGATGTTAAGGTCCTGTGTCTATTTCCAGAAGTTTATTAAATTTGACTATACAATGTACCCTGACATATATCGCAATCGAGGATATCATCTCTATCGTGTTTACAGACGATATTTAATTAAGTTTAAGTTTATTATTTAAATCAAATTAACTGAAGCCTGTATTGTGTTCAAAAAACACATTTTGATGCGTTTCTCCTAATTCAAAGGAAAATACTCAAAAAGCTTTCATAATACAAATATTGTCAAATACGAACAATTTGTTATAATGTTGGCGTATAAAAACTGTTACCTTGACAAGCTTGCTGTTCTGTCCAAGTACCATTTTCACCACACCTCAGAATACCCGTCTTACCATTCTTAGTGTAGCCAACAGACAAGTCAAAATTAAAATTTCATCAATATTCTGAT